ACAATTTACTCTTGATAAACCACAATTAGGTAATATTTTCATTATTCTTGTTCACATTCGAGGTACCGCCATCTTGGTGCACTCGTTTCGGCCTCCATGAGCGAGAACCAATCAGAATTGGATTTTTTTTTAGGCCATTTTCAGCCCAACCAAAAGTGAGTTGTCTTAACTCTGGGTATAAAGGGACTCTAGGTACGAGATGCGACCACCATTCTTTCTTCTTTATCTTATGTCTTTGGAATTTCCCCGTTTCTAGTACTGCTGAAGTACTTAAATTAAGGGTCAATTTTCTTATACTTAGAGTTGCATTATGTTTTCATCTTAATTGTGGTCGATTCATTATGATCTCCAATAGCCCACATGCTATTTTATTCGTGTTTATTAGTGTTTGTCTAGCAGGTATGTTGCTGAGGCCCTGGTGCCCGAGCTATACTGCAATTTAATTATTCTCTTAGCTTCTTTATTTCTTCATTCGCCACAAATCATTCTCTACTTCAATCTCCTACACAGCTCTCCCGATTGTGCAAGTCTTTTTTTACACACAATTCAATATAGATTTTAACCTTCAACCGAGTACCACACCCAGTACCTAAAATTTTTCCCTGTGTCCCAAATCCAAATAAGAATGCAAAACAATTTCAGAATATTGAGTCACGAGCATTGTTTCTCCTGAGCACTGTTATTTTCATAGTTTTCGCCTGAGAAATGAGCAAAGAAATATTTATCTGATGAAGCAGAATCTAAAATCAGTATGGAATTTCAGCATGTGAGGTTTCACGCATTCTGGTGAAATATCTCAAACTGGTAACGTTTTAATGGTTAATTTCAACTTCTCAGCACAGTCTCATAACATGACATTATTTGATCAATGAAATGCAATTACTTCATCCTGCAGATGTTTCTATGCAATGAAATTTCCATTACAATTTGTAACCTCAATCTTACCTTGGCTACTGCTGCGCGTTTGGTTCTTCTGTACACTGAACTCACACGACAACAACAACTTAACCAGTCTCATCAACCTTTGGAGATAGTAGTGTGTTGGGCGAAAATGTAAGACTTTTATAGGCAACACGTAAGGCATCGGGAACCTTAAACGAAGTCGAACTACAGGAGAGTGTTTGGCATCCGGTAATTCTGTTTCGAAACTACTCAAGACCAAAGACATGAAGACGGAGCGCTAAAAGCAAACAATGAAGCTACTTTTCAACCACCTTTAATATTGGCTAGAAGATAGGCGGCAAAATCGGGACAAGTTTGAAATTCTCAAATACTTGCGGGGCGGGAACTAAATAAAATTGGGTAAACAAAGTATTCTACTTAGGTTGATTTTTGCGCAAATTCTTTTACCCACATATATTATTTTAACTTTAGGTTATTTTTAGTCTGTCATGAACCGATTAACCTTATTTGAGATTAATGGTCATCAAGGACTGTAATGGCCTGTTTGAACCTGCAGGACCACCATGAGCAACAGAAAAATAAACTTCATCTGAGATTACTGCCTGTTACTGAGCGAAAGTAGGTGTATTATAAAAGTCACCATCCCAAATTTCTCAATATATTTGTTTTAGGCATTTAAAACACGTTTAGAGGAAGAATTGTGGAAAAATCAAGAGGACAAGTTCAAATCAAATTTCTGTTTCACGCCCATGGATTCCCGCGCTCAATTACACTCACACAAGCGCCCAGCGCCAAACCAGGCTTCACTTTTTCCTCCTGCTTTTAGATACGAGCACTCCGTCTTTATGTTTTTGCCCCAGACAGTTAACCTCAGATAGCTAACCTCAAAAATGCACCTTGGTAGTACGTGAACCAATATAAAGCAAGAAAATGTAGGTGAAGTAAATTGTTTGGTATTGTTGAATCCAATGCGTGACAGGATAATTGACTTGGCTAGTTACAAAAGAACTCAAGCGGCAGATACGAAAATATGACAAAACAGTAAACACTGTATGAACCAACTCATTTTAAATTGCAGATTAATTAATTCATCGCATTGATATTTTAGAGCTCTGAGATTTATAAAGGGCCAATTAAAATGGTTATTAGAATTTTTCTTGAATTCTCATTTTTGGCGCTTGAGCCCTTTTGTAACTGACCGATTTAGTAGTTTGACTTCATTTCAATTACTTGACAGTTTGTGTCATCAAGACACTATGGATTAATGGCCCCTATTTTCACCAAACGTTTAACTCTCTTCTTGCAGGAAAGTTAAATCTGATCAGGCTTGGTAAGATGCATGTAGCAAATACCATTAACACCCATTTTGAAAATCTTTTTTCAGGTGTAGTAATAAGTGAGTGTGAGATACCAGTCGTACTGCAAGGCACATGGTATGCAAGAGAAAATGGAAATGACACTCGCACTGAAATCAATGCAGACACAGTTGACAATCGTGGCCGATGCATTAACATTAAAGAAGATTACCATGCCAATTTCACATTTGTCTTAAAGAAGGATTTGAATAATTGTTACCACTGTATGAAGATATTGGTCCGAACTGTCAACATTCTGGAAAAACTTGAAAGTAAACCATGTTTATAGTATTTTTTTAACTCTATCATATCTCTGTAACTGAAAAATAATGAATTTATTTTTAGCAGAGATTTCTCATTTTTAGATACCACCAATAGTTTGGGGATAGAGGAACCGATTCCTATTCATTGAACACACATTTTCTCTTTATCAACCATGAGAAGCTGAGCTGAATTCTATGGTGTATTCTTTGTTATTTAGAGGAAAATGTAGATTACGAATCTTGTTTAAATGACAGGGAACTAATTTTGCTTGAACTTCGAAGCTGCACTTTTTTTCAAACTGGAACTATAAGTGCATCTGATTTCTGCATTTTAATGTCTGAGAACTTGTGGGAATTTAAGGTCGATTTTTCTATGAACAAGGTTATTTTTGATTTCATAAAAATTCTGTTTTTGTCAGAGCCTATTTTTGTTCTGAGTAAGTAGAACATTCATAATGATTACCGTTGCATCAAGGAAAGAATTTTTACGAACATGTTGGCTGAAAAATTTCGACTCAAATGGAACTTATGATGCCTTGAATATGGCAGTCTAATATATTTCTAAGAGAAAGATGTCTAAAGTTTTGATATGTCATGTTCAAAGTTGAAAATTGGCAGACTTTAATGCCACTTAATCACCATTGTTGGCGTAAGCTTGTGCTTAACTCAAAAACTTGGAATTTTTGCATCTTAAGGAGACCTGTCTGACTGCATTTCAGGCAACTTTACAAGAATTACCCTTTAAAAAAATCTGCCTCGGAGCATGAAAATTTCTTTCACTAAAAATAGTTTATTAAAATGCAACCAGCTATATTTCTCTCGCTAGATTTAAAGTTAGTTGATACCAATTATTCCTCCTTAATATCTGCTTTATAGAACGATATCATTATCAGCCCATATCTTTCAATTTTTCAGCGGGTTGTGTCAACTTAGGTCCAGATGAGGAACCAACCATTGAACGAGTCTGTCGTAGTTTAAAGCCAGATCAGCAGTTGATTACTCTCTTTGCCGAAAATTATGTCCCTGTCAATTGTAGATCAAGTTTGGAAGGTGTCTGGCAATTTGGCTATCAGGTTGGTACCCTTTAGAAATTCTACACAATTTCAAAGAAATTTTAAGTTTGAAATTCAACTTTTCACATCTGTAAAATAGATTTAAAAATTTTACAGTCCAAAAATAATGGTGCGATCATTGTGGTTAGAACTTTTAATAATACCTAACTTCGATTAAATGAGATAAAAATCAGATTAAATTGTCAAACATTTACATAGTCGAAATTTTAGCAAAGCCTTAGATACATCAAATACAAGTTCTTAGAATATTTTGTGCCGAAAAAAACAGCTTCTTCATTTCACTCCAAGATATAGTACGGAATTTTTCAGCCCATAAGATTTTCCGGCTGCCAAGGAATCGTAATTTTGAGCACTTGTGGTCATGTCAAGAGAGAAGCATCTAATGTAGAATTGTGAGCTTTGTTTTAAGAGCTAGTAACATGAGTTCTGATCTTTAATTTTTTTTTATTCTATCCTTTCCAGAATCGATTCAAATTCACAGGAGAATGCAGTAATAAAGAAAATCAAATCCGTTCCTGTCAAACTGCAGGAACTCAATTTCTGAACTTAAATCAGAAATTTAATATCACCTACAAACAGTGTCCTGGTATGACTGGTACATTTGACGGAGGTAAGATCAACTTTTCAGTACTTAGAAAGTTTTCTTTTGGACCCCCTTCATTTTAATCATGATAATGGTTTGTTTTGCTGTGACAAATCCTGCAGAGCTATTCGCAAGGAAAAATTGTTGTTGCTGGTTATCTTTCGTCAAGTAAGTAGGCTGACCAGTTACATCTCTCAAAAAGTCGGTATCACTGGTTTAGAAGCATACACGGTGGTAATTTGTCAGTCGATTAAAAACTGATTGCTGTGAGGTAAGAGTGGTGATATTGTCAGCCTACATAATTTACTTTAGTTACTAGTGGATTAATCAACTAATTGATACCTTTTTTATGCATTTGCGCTGGTGCGCTGACTTATCTTTGCAGTGTCACAAAATAATGTCATTGATATCATCGATACCCATTTTGGTCAAGACCAACATTAGTCCTTTCAAGGGACATTAGCACTCAGTAAACTTTCATGACATTCTGTTTTTCCAGAGCGAAGTATCCTTTTTTTTCCTCTTTATAATCAAAATAAGATTAGAAAGTCCTACTGCCCCTGCTGTTTGCCATAGCTTGTTGTGCTAAACAGGAAGGGACTTGGGATAAGGAACAGAAACTTGACAATTCAGTGTAAGTATTCTGCATAGGAAAAGAAAAGGAAAATTGGGAAAGAAGAAAAATGAGTCCACACGACAAAAATTATATGAGTTAACAAAAGATAATTTTGTATAATGCGGGTGCAATGAAAATCCTTATAAAATTTTGGTTTTTAATGGTGTTACAACTCATTCTAAAGGAATTTGGGAATCATTGATAATTCCCTTGGTCTTGGTCTCTTTATTTACACATGTTTTTATAATTTTTCATTTATTTAATCTAGTTTGTATAGGGAGAGTTATGGTGTTGGTTGGATCAATGATTACAATTAGTCTTTTTCCTCTCCACTTTAGATGTTGTTGTACAAGTTATTAATTCATACAGATAATTGTAACTTTATTTTCATATCAAAAGTCAACACCCGATTCTAAAGTTTGATTGGCAAAAGTCGAAAATAAAAAAAAAAAAATTGAAAAAGGAAAGCCTCACGGTTTAGTGTCAGACTTTCACAAAAATAGACAGCAAAAATTATACTACATCAAGGCAAACCTAAAAAAAAAAAACAAACAGCGAAGCAATGATAGGAAAAAGACAAGAAGGAGAAATGAGAGAGAGAAAGAAAAAACCCTGCAAGGTCAGGACCGCAAGCATTCATAACAGCAGAGCAACTAATGAGACAAGAAAAAGGAAACGGAAAACGGAAAAAGAAGGAGGATCTTCGTTAACTGTTACCAGGTAGTTTTCCAACAAGCTACAGGCTTATTTACAGGAGTGAAAAAGCAAGCTAGTTTCTTTTTCAGTAAAGTTCTTGGATTATGCTCTCACTTTGTGTCTTGCTTACGGTCTGGCTTCATTAAGCGCAAACCGCTGACGCTGAGGTCTAGTTTTATGAGCTCCAACTCTCAAGTGAAGAGAGAGGTCTTGGGTCTTTCTTCTGGAAACCACCTGTGAAGGCACTCATAATGTAAGCTTTCCACAGTGAAGCTTTCAAATCCTTCCCCTCTTTTTGCAATCAAAATAAGTAAAAAGAATTTGGAATAAAGGATTTCTCTGTTTTCATTCTAGTGGTTGAATACAGCTGTCTAGGTGACTGGTTTGTAGAGAAAAATCATTTCTTTGCTGTTGCCAACACCAAAGAATCTCGTAAAGATGAAAAATATCGATGTTTCCTCAAAAATCGAGATGATGATTTGTACATTGGTGTCTCCATCACCCCAGAGTGCAACACACTGAAGACGGTAGAGAAAAGTCCTGAAAGGATGCATATCACACCAGGTTGGTCTTAGAAATTCAATTTTTCACTTATCATTCTGTGATGTTGTCAAACAGAGAAACAACTTCAAACGGGACTAAGGCCGCAAACAATAAAAAGAAACAAATAAAATAAGTTCTAAAGAAAGAGTCTTACAATAACAACGGTGAGGCTTATGGTGTCCTTTCTTTTAATTTTTCTTGTTTTGCCGGTTGAAAATTCGGGCGTGATCCCTGCGAAACGTCCTGGGTTTCTTATTTTATTTTATGTGTTTCTTTTTATTATTTGCAGCCTCAGTCCCGTTTTAAGTTGTTTCTCTGTTAATGTTTCGGGCGGAGTAAGTTGTTTTTTCTATGATGTTGATATGTGTATGATGATGATGATGATGATGATGTTGTATTGATGTTTTCAACTATGTATCGGTCATTGTGACTTTGTACTCTACCCTATGCTGTGTGTGAACCCGAAGTACAATTCTTCTCTGAGTGTGATCATGGCTTATTTATCGTGAAAATCCCCATTGACAACACATCCTTTGGATATCAATAACACCGCACAACAAACGTGATTCGGTGTGTCCTTCGAACCAAACCAATTTTCTTTTCGATTCCTAGGTGCTAAAGAAGCCCGAAAATGGCCATATTAACGTTAGGAAAATTGGCTGGTCCTCAGGGCGCAGGCATTTGAATTTTTCACAATTGAGAAATCTTACGATCAGTTTTTCGGAAATACAGTAAGACTTCGATATAACGAATTTCTAGAGACCGGCGAAAAAATTCGTTAAATCGAAAATTCGTTTTATCGAAAACCGCGGAAGACCCGATTTTAGGCCACAAATTTTTTTGAAATGTTCGGTTTTTTCCAGTTTTGTGTACACCCCCTCCCACCCCTCTTAAACTATGACGATATTTTACGGAAAATCGGCGGGGAACACCCGGTTGCATATTCCCAAACCCCGCGTTGAATGTGAAATCCAGTTTAGACCCCAACCGCAGCCCATTGTGCGGGTCTGAGACTCCTCCGCAGCGGCCGCGCCGCGGCTCGGCTCAGGCTGGTCCCTCGTCTTTCGAACAAAAAGGTTCAAATTTTGGCTTTTTTCTTTGCAGTGAAAATATTTTTAAAAGTAGAATTTGAGGACGTTTTCGGCAAAATGGCGAATGGAGCTTGCTATGCTGCTATGATTGCGCAAGTTTCATAGCGTTCGCCGCAAATGAAATTCATTCACAATGTACGTCCTTACAATCGCCAGGAAAAACTCGGAGCAGATTCAACGAAAAATTAACAGCAAAACAGTCGGATAGAGAACTACATTACACAATCTTAGCAGCATGGGACGTCTCATACGTCCTTTTACCGAAAAATGCCTCAATTATGTGCAGTGAAAATATTTTTTAATGCAGAAAATTTCGCAATGCAGAGTCATGCCGTCACCTTCGTTGATCACATGATGAATAAACTTGACTATGCCTGCCGTTTTGTTCTTTGTAAAAAACATTTCTGATGGAAAATTCTCGGAACATTTTTAGAGCAGTGCAATGCATATGCATCTCACAAGCCTCTTTAATTAGTGAAATTTGCGGAGCTTCTGCACTGGAAATAAATTATCATGTAAGAAGAAATATTCTTGAATTTGCCGCTAAGAGGAGATTTCTCTTGACTTAAGCTGCAAAATGCGTACTTTGAGAAGAAAGCCGCTCATATCAAGCAGGATTCGGCTTTGTTCAAGTGATCTTATTCTTGATTCAAGAGCAGTATTCTTGACGAAAAATTCAAGTAATTTTTTTTCCTTTCTTTCTTTCAAATATTTCCTTTCTTTCACTTATAGCTCTGCGCAGAACCTATCACCTTGCTTGAAAGGATAAACAATGAATAGGTGGTGAAGAAGAGTAAAAAAAAGTCTCTGCATTCGCGAGGATGAATATGCACTTGGTGTCTCACCCAAACCAATAAGAGAGATATTAAAACCCCATTAAAGAGAAATAGAAATTTACATGAAAAATAAAAATGTTCCCGAAAAAAGTTCATCATTCAACTTCGTCGTTTAAGAGACTGGACATTAATATTCAATGAATGAAAGCAGATACCTATAAATACTGAAATTTCAAATAAAAATGATGTTTAAGCTAGGTTGATCAATGTTTTGGGGGTGTTTGGAAACATTGCAATGAATCAAATCAGGCACAAACATCCCTTGGACACTGATAAATTAGGAGGCAACACGCCGTCGCATCAATTTCATCGATGTTCGTTATTTGAAATCCATTTCGGAAGAGACAGGGTATGACTTGACTCTGACCTGAAAAAATCATCCCAAGTGGATCACGGTTTTTCTTGAACTAGTCAATGGTGCATTTAAAAATGCGCTCATCATAAGACAACTCTGCGAAGGGCTTGTTTTGAGGAGGAAGACGATGTCTTCCGGAAAACAAAAAGAGTGGACCGCGAGGTCACCCCCATTCATTTCGGAGGGTTGAAGAGACTATTCAGACGGGAGAAAGGAGAAAGGATGGCCGCAGTGCCCAAGGCCACTTGCTGAACAGCCTCATGCCAACCGCGTGAGGGCTCAGAAGGCAGCGGCTAAAGATTTTGAGAACGGGCTAGATTTTTCACATTTCACGCGGGGTTTGGGAATATGCCACCTGGTTAGCACTTGATCAGTAAAGCGGTGTTTTCCTCCAAACTGGTTAGGAGCCGTCGCGCGGCGCCACGCCGCGCCCGTTGCCATTTGATTGCGGAAAGTATATCGCAGTTATTAGGCCGCCGCAGGACGCAGCACTGCTCCGGGAGCAGTGCCGCGTCCAAAGCAGTACATGAGATCAAATGGGAGACCGGTCGTGCGCCGCGCGTGGCGTTGCAGCGTCAGTTGGAGGAAAACACTGCTTAAAACTGCGCAGCGGTAGTGAGGAGCACACGGCAGGGTTGAAATCGTACTGATGACGTAGCTCCTTAATCACCCCGTTTATTCGAAGAAACATGTGCGCCCCGGAAATTCCCAATCCCGCCGTAGCGGAAAATGACATTTGCACCGACACCGACGTTAGGGTGTCCCTTATTTTTCAAAATTGAGAAATTTTAATGGGCAGTTTTTTCAAAACGTGATGCGGCCCAAAAAAATAAGAAATCGTTTTGAAAAAAAAATTTAAAAAAATTTTTAGGGGTCTCTCAAGCGCCCTAAAGGGCGCAGGTGTAAAAATTGATAAATTGGCAAAAGTAGAGTCATTTCCCAGTGGAAATCCTCGAATTGCGGCCCTTTGGGCGGAAATTTCGTCCGTTTGGCCGTATCTGTGATGGTTTAGCCGCTACAGGGCGGTATGCGTGCGCGCCGCGGCGTACTCGCAGGCGCGAAAAGCTCACGGTGGCGCGCGGATCCGCGCCGCGCCGCGCCGCGCAAGATGAGCTTAAGCTTGGCGATCTCAATATCAGTCGTTGGACCAATTATTCAACCTATGTGTGGGCATTTCTGGATTTTACGCTGAAATCTGAGTTGCAGAAGACTGCAACGAACATGTGTGCAGTCCAAAGGTCGCGGACGACGTAAATTCCCATTTGGGGTTTTCCATTATCAGTGTCCTCCGGAGGTAAGTAGGTAAACTCTATGCCCGATCAGTTAACAAGTATCCGCTGTGTCGCGATTATCTATGTGTTCTCGTGATTATCTCGTGTTCGTGCTCCTTTATTTCGGTCTACCATGGCTGGTCCTAGGACTAGAAGTGTTAGTGTACAGGAATCCGAAATTCTATTCGTTGGCCAAGTGTGTGAAAAATTTCACGTGAAAATATTGCCGAGTACAGCTGAAGTTTTGCAAGTGTTTTTCCACAAACATGAATTTTTAAAAATGACTGTGAAAGACAGCGTACGGGAAACTGTAGAAATGGTGATTCCTATGTGGACCGGGAAATCAAGAATTCCGATCGTTCTGAAACGATGTATCGTTGAAAGACTGACGAAGCTTTTTGACGAGTGGATTTTGATAAAAAAAAATCATACACGGCAATCGGACGCTCAAGTACAAAGAGTTCGTGATTTTAAGGAAAAATTAGATAAATTATTTGATATCGCTGCTCGTGGAAATTTGACCCTCGCGTTCTGGTTTACGCTGACCAATGAGAAACAGTTTCTCCTCTTCGTTGTCCAACCGTTCCAACGCATCACGAGCAGCGATAACAAATAATTTATCTAATTTTTCCTTAAAATCACGAACTCTTTGTACTTGAGCGTCCGATTGCCGTGTATGATTTTTTTCTTATCAAAATCCACTCGTCAAAAAGCTTCGTCAGTCTTTCAACGATACATCGTTTCAGAACGATCGGAATTCTTGATTTCTCGGTCCACATAGGAATCACCATTTCTACAGTTTCCCGTACGCTGTCTTTCACAGTCATTTTTAAAAATTCATGTTTGTGGAAAAACACTTGCAAAACTTCAGCTGTACTCGGCAATATTTTCACGTGAAATTTTTCACGCACTTGGCCAACGAATAGAATTTCGGATTCCTGTACACTAACACTTCTAGTCCTAGGACCAGCCATGGTAGACCGAAATAAAGGAGCACGAACACGAGATAATCACGAGAACACATAGATAATCGCGACACAGCGGATACTTGTTAACTGATCGGGCATAGAGTTTACCTACTTACCTCCGGAGGACACTGATAATGGAAAACCCCAAATGGGAATTTACGTCGTCCGCGACCTTTGGACTGCACACATGTTCGTTGCAGTCTTCTGCAACTCAGATTTCAGCGTAAAATCCAGAAATGCCCACACATAGGTTGAATAATTGGTCCAACGACTGATATTGAGATCGCCAAGCTTAAGCTCATCTTGCGCGGCGCGGCGCG